AATTATACAGGGCGTCGCGCAATGACGAAATGACATCACGTAGCACATGGAACCAAATCGATCGACTGCACTTTCTATCAATTTCTAAATTAAACGAGCGCGCGTCCAATGTGCCATTTTCAAAAAATAAATTACTTACTTTCGCTGGTACCGTTGTGAGAAACTCCAACCTGTATAAGCTATTTATCCTTCGTGAAAATGGGCAATAACATTTTTTAGCGTGCAGCTTCATCCTCGGAAAGATGAAGCTGGAAAATTCTGCGGATAATCACCCAACTACGTCTCGGTAGACGTTGCTTCCTCGTAGGATCGATCGTTATAATAATCTTCGAGTTGGCTAATATCATTAGGTCGTTATACCGGTGCGATTATCGCTACGATATTGTAATTTCAAAGTGCTCGATCTTACTTGCAATCGCAGAGTTCATCAACGGGCGCGTACAATTTATCGAAGAAGTTCCAAAGTTTCGTAAACGACAAGAAATAACAATTCGACGGAGGAGTATATTTAGCTTGAAGTTAAACAAAAAGCGGAACAAGAGTAAAATGCACGTTACAGCGTTGGAAACGGCTGGAAATGTCGGAGCGATTACCCGCCAAAATTTCACCCCTTGTCTGCTATTCAACGAGGCGATAAAACGGTGTGTGAATTCTTGGAAAGGCAATCCGTGCGCCATGCCAATAGCTCCAAAAACACACGGTACCTCGCATATTTCTAAATATTACCGGCTGCCCCTGTGGTCAGCAATAAATTCCAGGCACAATCACCGGCGAATGATCATGAAACTTCAAGCAGTGCGTAAAATATATGCAACAGCGGTGAGCTCGAACGTAGTCCGGCTACATAAATAATGACCACGTGTGATCCCGTGCGAGTAGCTACAGTTGTTACAACCTGCTCACCGTATTGCCTCGTTTTGCTTAAAAGCGAGCCTGACAATTATCTTAATAGCTGACTCGGTCGAGTCGAGGTATTTCCAGGTAGCGGAGGCGAGGCATCTCACGATTTTCATCGAGTAAACAGCGAAGGATAACAGCGTCGGCGTTCCACCGGCTGCTACGCCGTAATTTCACCACGCCGGTTTATTCCTGATTTTTCCGCCCCTTTTCGCCTCGCCTTGCCATCTCATATTAGATAGTAGCGATAGATAGCGCGAACGATGGATCCTCGGTAGCTTATCGGCCCATGGTTATCGAAAATTATGGAAACTCGTTGCGCGGCAAACGCAATACGCCACAGATAAGAGAACTGCTGTTCAATTTTCGAATTATCGTAGCCACGGTTGATCGTCCGCTCGCTCGTGGAATCGTTGCGGGTGAAAAAGAAAAATCGAATCGACGCAACCGGTAATCTCTGCTCGATATCTGGCTGAAATGTGACGCAACCGCGTTGGTGATCGGCGAATTATGAAAATCGACTCGTTGACTTATTATGCCTGGGTTCGGCCAGTAATCGCAACTGATAAAGTTGTACTTACGTACGTTCCGTTGAAACAGGGTGTGCCTTTTAATGTGCTGTATAATCTTTCAACGTGGCGTTTCTAAGCTCGTACAAGGTGGGAGGAGACGCCAGTTGTTAGGCGGTTTTGATTAAGCGTTTTGCAGGGATTTTTTTATCGATTACTCGTGGCAATTGCGACAGCGATGATAAGCATAGGAAAGATCGTTGAGGATATAAGTAGAGGATAAGAGGTTGAGAATTTTTCGCTAGATTTCTGGTAGCAAACGTAAGCAGATTTCCGCTAAGATGTACGAATCAACGAAGATAATCGAATGATAAAGGAATTTTAAGCGGAGATCTTGTTAACCAGATTTTCCAATAGGCGAAACAATCTTCCAAAATTGTCAAACTTTGTGTCTTTGTTGAAAGAATTTTCTTGCAATATTCGGTCGTGTACTTAGTGATAGAACGCTATCCAAATATGTCAAATATGAATCACGAGTCGTAACGTAGATTACGATTCGAGTTATAACGTTATCACGTTGTTTAAAGTTCCGCAGCGAAGGATAAATTTTGCACCTGTTTGTTTCGACATTTCTCGTGCGTTAGCGTTAATCGAATAATAAACCATCGATCGATAGTTTAACGTTTCGTCTTGTTTGCACTTCGATTAAAATGCAGACGGAGCACGTGTCAAACGTGCTGTCAGACGATTGTCAAACAAGGAAGGAGCGCACATATTTTGAATCGCGCAGTACCGTAGTTAGCGCAGGAGCGCGCACGAGCAACAAATTTAGTTATCATTACACGGATAGTCATCGCGTAATACGATGATGTCTCGTTTATGTCAAGGACGATGTATGTATCGTTATTCGCAACGAGCGCCATAAATCTCCTTTCTACTTATGCACGTACGATGACACTCGGAATTAGCAAGTTCGGTCACGTTTCTTTAAGGAAGCGTCAATTGTCGTTCTGTACGTTTATGGAAAATCTATCTAATGATAACGAGGATCCGATAGAAATCTAAAAAAATTGGCAAAAAAAGACACAGCTTTCATTTTAGATGAAGTTTTAAGCAAATTGTTCGCGAATGACCTTTATACATACTTGGACAATGCTTTGAAATAACTCGAAACTTTCTTCTTTTTTTCAATTATTTGTAATTAGCTCAATTATTTTTATCATTAGCTTGAAATTATGTAGGTATCGCGTGTTGTATGAATCAGCAACAACAAAACTGAAATATTTTACAGCGTAACGGTATTCGCGCTGAGTTAATGCAATTGGCCTTGAACGACACAAGTGTACAAGCTTACGCGTGCGAGGACATTGCGAGAAAATATTTGATGTGTAACGCTACTGTCGTTGACACAATAAAATCGGAAATTATTATATCTTCGCAGATTTCTGTTCATTCGTGCGTCATAACGTCAAATCCTAATCTGACTCAAGCGAAACTTGAGACACGAGTACATAGAGAATCCGATGCTTCGTTCATTTAACGATCTCACCATATTTCTTCCGCTTACTGTATTAATTAAGCAATCTTTCGAGTGAGTACATAGTCGTATTCCAAGCAGTCGTGTAAGCGTTACATCATGTTGTGCTGCATACATATAAATAGCTACGCGTAAGTAGCATGAGAAGTAATATGCACACATTATGTTAGATATATTATGCCGGGTTAATGTTGGAATTTTGGACGTTTGACGAACCTTCGCTCGAATTTTCCATCGTGGTTACAGTTGATATTTATTATTGGTACAATTGTGATTATTACAAGAAAGTACAAGTAATAGCGGCGATCGGATGGTCGAAATGTCGATGACAATGAATTCAGCTTCGATAACGAATCCACGGCCAACGGGACGACGAATGCGATGTGATGCACGATCTTGGGTGTGTCACTCAACGTGCAAGTAGTACTCCTCTGAATAGACTCCATAGACTCTAATCGCAGTCCAAGCGGAACTGCCCTTATATAGTCCTCTCCCCACCTCTCGGGTCAATTTTTGTTTTTAAGGAGAGCTATATAATTATTCCATACCTGTGTTAGGTACACGTCCCTCGCTCCCGTGACCGTGGCTACGTTCAGTGACCCGTTATGTCACTTCGAGCCCAAAAAGCCTATCGTCACAAACCTTGAGCACCCATAATCGGAACATTACAACTATTTCTTAGTTTTATTACTTAAGTGTGGCTATAGTAAACGTCTGGACTAGGGTATTGGGGTTTTCCTCAACATTCCCAAAGGGAGGTCCCCGATGTTCATATATATGAGGTGTATCGTGTTGTCTGTGATGATTGTAGCTGCTAATGTAGACGTCGCTATAATAAGCTACTGCTGATTTTCTTCTCATTTTTGTATCGTGGAAGAAAAATCGGAGACTCCGGTCGCCGGGATTCGAACCCGGTTCGTAACCTAAGGCGCCAACCACTGCGCTACCGTTGTCCGGTAAAAGTTAGCGTCGAGTGGCGGTATTTGTTGTCGAGTGCCGTCACATATATATATACACAAACACATATTAAAAGAATTTGGGAAATAAAGAAAAAACGATGTCCTTAGTTCGTCTCGAGTTTGATTTAGATTTATCTTAACTTTGAAAGAAGTAAGGAATAAATGGACTGCGGATTTTGATGCATTTCTGATGAATCGAAAGGTGCAAAAATGTAGCTATAGATATATAGAATATACAGGACGCGATCGAGTAACATGTACAAGCGAGTACGAGGTGATTTTTTACGAAAGAACGAAGGGAAAAATATAGAATAAAGTGTTCTTCTTTCAAATTTAGTTTACGACAGAATTTTGGGTATTCGTTGGATATATATGAATTCGGCTAAGTATCGACTAGACAGGAGTAAATAATTACGAGGCTATTCTACGTACGAAAATAAGTGAACCAATTTGGAACAAAATTTTTCCATTTAAAGTTGCATCTTCACGAAAGTAGAGTCTGTTCGTGTTTAGATAATAATCGATCCAATACACGCGGATGGTACGTTTTCAAGTTCGCTTTGCTCAGGAACCGAGCGTCTTATGAACAAATTTTATTCTACATTTTTCACCTGTTTTCACACGTAGAATAACATCCTACCGATGATTTTCTGCTGTACAGTCATGTTCAAGTAAATTTTTAAACTCGACTTTCTCGAAAACTAAGCTTCAAACAGAAAAGTTTCATTCTATTGGATTGGCAACTAAGTGATCGCGTATTTTGTCAATACCACCTAATGAGAAAATCCGCAATCACTTAGTTGCCAATCCAATATCACGAGAAAAATTCTTCAGTTCCATTCTACGCGTACAATTTTATCGCGCTGGTTCGAGGTCATACGTGCAAACCTCAGCTGCGATTGAAACATTTTTCCTTGAAATTCGCCAATATCTCCGACGTCATTTGAAAACAATTCGCGTGACGCCAACGCGACGTAGCGTCATTCGCCTTCGCGAGCAATGACACGATACAAAGGTGGCGTCATCGCCGATCAAAGAAATTGAATAAAAATGGTACAGGCGGCGATCGACATCTGATGGTCCGTTTTCTGTTTGCAGTGGGTGGTGCGGTGCTGATGTTTTTCCTGTTCGGCAAACCGTACAAGCGTGGATTCTTCTGCAATGACGAGTCGTTATATCATCCGTTCCACACGTCGACTGTAACCAGCGCGATGCTCTACGTCATCGGTCTTTTACTTCCTATATGCACGGTGAGTCACCTGCTGCGATTCTTCATTTCCCTGGTCCGAAAAGAAGCGTCAGACGATAGCTCGACGACGTCGCTATCGTTTTTCTTGCGGTCGGGATATTTTGTACGAGGTGTTTCTTAAACATACAAGGGGTCACGCAGTGTGTGAGAAACGCCGACAGGATGAATTTAAATCTTGAAAATGATACTGTTGACGCGCCAGCAATGCCGAAAACGGCTGACTACCATGTTGACTGAATGGGCTTTTTAAAAGCCAGTTTATATTTTTTAGGATTCTTCTGATGATATATTTTAACATTGTTACGGTCCTTAGCGTTTTAGTTTGAAAGAATTAGAACGTAAACGGGGGAATTTTATAAGGAAGACAGATGTTTTTATTTTTACGCGACAAATATTTTATTTTATTTACAAATTATATATGTATATATTAATTGTATATCGTGGTGATATTTTATGGGGAAAGGTGATATTCTAATTCTAAATTACCAGAGTTATCGTTCTGTATTCTCTATTTAATTCATTTTAATTATTTATAGCGGCTATTGTAGTTCAATGCTATTGAAATAAGAGAAACAAGAAAAGAAATGAATATTTTACAGATTAATTTTAAGATTAGTGGATACACTTTTTGGATCTATCTTTGCAACGTTGTTTACGGTTAAGACGGAACAAATATTTTATATTTTCTTGTTTGCCAAACTTAAAGTTTTTTCACATGCCAGTTAATTGGATTTTGATATTTGTTTATGGAATGCCGATGATCTTTCCCCTTTCAAGGCCTCTTCGTAATATCCATTTATTAATTCATTTGCCCACTATTGTGTTTTTTATCTTATCGACGACAGAAGAACTCATTGTAGGGGGAATGTAATAGAATATACATATTATTCGAGTGAATAAAGAGGCACGACTATTGAAGTAAACGGTTAATAGACTCTAAGTTACTTTTTAAAATAATAATTGAAAAAGGAAAAGATAGCACACTGGAATTTTCCAGGTTATTTATTTTCCTTTAGGTAATGAAAATTGGCATTTACGCAGTTCAACGAAAACAACGTTCATCTGTTTCACTTAATGAATTAAATATTTTTTGAAAAAATTAATAGGTAAGAAATCATTCCAGGCGATAATCTTTAATGACTCGGCTTGTGTATCGTAATTAATTTAAGCCAGTTGAGTTAATTATTTACTCATTACGTAATAAACTTTCGAGTAATTAACATTTTACAAAGATATTCGGAAATGTTATGCATGCGAATTTTTTTTTAAGAAACAGCTAATAGAATTTTAAAGAAATAAGCTTCAAAGATAGTTATGTTCCGTGCAAAAAAATTGAGAGATAAAATATGACTCTATTTTTACATTTTTTCATCTGTGCGCGATTTTTAGCAATGATATCTAAATGTTCTGATATTTTACGCAACAGTGTTCCATGCAAAATGAATCATCGACGAAGGTCAATATTTAATGTTCCACTTAGCGTTATCTTTAAAATTTGCCAACGGTATCTGATTTTTAACCATAATTCCGCTTTATTATCGTAATCTCTATCTGGAAATCGTAGGAATAAAATTTAACAAATCGAAAACTCCTACCATCTACGATTCATTTTAAAAGAATTTCAGATCTACGAAATTATATAAAAATTTCCCGGAAAAAAAGGTTATTCTCTCGTTAACGAAGCATAGATCGTTTCTTGGTCGAAAAAAAAGTAATTAGAAGGTCGTCGGGGAAAAAAAGTGTTTGATAATAAAATATTTAGATAATAAGAGCATTCGAATTATGTAAGTTTTGATAATGAAGGTTCCACTGTTTTTGATTATCAATGAGCGACGATAATGACATCCGTTGATAAGTTATTCGGTCATTATTTTTTCTCGTGATCGTAATATTTTTCGATATTTCTTCCGTTTGTTTGCGTAACTTTCGTGTAAACAAAATTAATCGTACGTACGATTATGAAACTCGCACGTTACGTGTTTCTTCTCGTAATTTCCTAATCTTTTTTTTAAAATTTCCCCTTTAATTGTATTGTACTTTTTCTATTTATCTTTTCTGTTCAAAAGATAAAATTTTATATGATATACCGAAATCTGAAACCGGTTTCACCAGGAACAAATATACCTGTCGTTTAGTTAATTAAAACTAATAAATAGACTCTGAATATTATGAGAAACTTGAAGGCGTGCAAATGTACTGTATAGCATTGCTTGGCAACTAAGTGATTGCGGATTTTGCAATATCGCCTAATGACAAAATCCGCAATCGCTTGGTTGTCAACTCGATAAAATATAGTACAGCAACAACAATAGCAAGCATGAGAAAGATACATAAAAGGTTCGATGTATAGCGATTACGATACGTGAAGCGAACGAAATTAATTCCCTCCAGTTATATCGATATAAATATAAATTCGCGTAAATATTCACGGAGAATTTACAATATAAAAGCAGAATGTCGCGTATGTGAAATATCGAGCGTGAAATGGTTAAAGACTGAAATGTACTCCACGTCGAAAAAGACCCTGTCGTCTTCCAGATGTACACAGATTTGTGACGCTCCTCGAAGTAGTTCAGATGTCGGCAAGTGGTAGTCTCGCGAGGAAATAAAAAAAAAAGCTTCCTATCTTTTTATCTAATTTCCTGACGACACCGCCGCCACAGCTGTTCTTTATCTGTTTCTTGCTCTCGCCCTTGCCAGATACGATCCTCCGCGTAGATCTAATATATCGCTAGATATTTTCGACGTGCTTCTCAAGCTCCTGTCGACGAGCCATCAGTCTACGAAAGAAGCATACATGGAAAGCGAGAAAGAGTTAACAAAAAAAAAAAAAAGGAAAAAAAGAAGGAATGACTAGAGGAGGAAAGTAGAAAGAACCGAGCGAAAACGCGTATATAGGTGTAAGATTGAGACGAAGACACGTATACATATAGGTGTGACCGCATAAGGATGTCGGCACATGTGGGATGCAACGACGAAAGAAGTGCATTCGTTAAGTTTCGGTGGTCGTGGGAATCGATTTACGGTATCTGGAAGTGGTGCACGTGCACACTGATGTATTTTTGCCGAGCGAGGGCAGAAGAGACTGCATCCTCTATTTGCATCCTTGGAAACTGCACTCGGGCCAGGCTCGGGCTACCAAGGGGTCGTTACCCACTAAAGGAAACTGAACAGATGCGTGTGTGTCCCCGGGGGCCTTCTCTTCGCTGCTTCGTCGAATATTTTCATATTTCCTCCGCGTAGTCTCCTATACATAGGATTATGGCGGAAAATCGTTCGAATTCCATAGATAGTTGCATGGTATTTATAGATGTTTGCACGATATGTCTTACAACATTATAGTTATCTTCAGCGATGCGTGATACGGATATCTGTAAACGAGAACCGAAAATTATCGACGAGTAGTTTGCATCTTTCTTTTTCTCTTGAAAGCCAGCGTCGAATTGCGGGATTAGGTATGATTTTTGGAATATGCAACGAAGTAGATCTTTATGGGTATCGTTAGAAAAATAGAAAGCATTGGAACAGTCGCAGATGTATCTTCTCTGGATATGTTACGCGTATCGTACGAAACATTTTGCAATTTCTTTGATACCGTTATGAGATCGTCGCGATTGCGTTATATAGTTTAGGCCAAGGTTGAAAGTAACAATTTTAGGTCAGCAGAAGATTTCGTCAAAACCGCGTTTGTCAATATACGAGAAATTTAAACACGCAACAATGTATAAAATATTCGAAACGTATTACTCCTTGCAACATTTGATGGACGAGAGAAATGTCCATGTAGGTTCCATTTTTCCAGCTATATCGACAAAAATTTAAATTTGCAAAAGCGTTCCTCGCTTACATATGTAAGTTTCACTCGCATCGCGTTATAAAGAATTATATTAAAACCTCAGCAAATTCAGCGAAGTCTACTCCGACGATAGCATTCCTCGGTAACGAGCAAGTCTCTCAGACGCACAAAGAAAGCATGACAGATCGAATCCTTTACTTATTCAACCCTCGATATCTCCCGGATCTTATTCAATGCTCGCAAACTCCGTCCTGTCGATATCTTGATACCGAGTTACGACGTCCTACCATCGCTGCACAAAAGCTCTTCTTATTCACGTTTCCATGGAATTCGAAGGTATTCTCAAGCGACCAACGCGAGCGAAGGATATCGCGATCGTCGTTCGCGATATCGTTCCGGATGCATGCGCGTGTCTGCAAATTTCCGGAGGCAGCCTATGTCTGAAACGTGTCAGGGCCTATTTTACTTTGGCTTTGCGGCTCGTCGTACGCACGATGTTCGAATTAACGCTGTCACCGCGGGCAACGCGTTACTTCGATCCTCTTTGCTCTTCTTCGCTTCTCTATGCTTCGCTTTAGTCGAACAGTCGATGGAACACGAGAGCAGAAGGACGCTTAGAGATTCTTGAAACTGTGTGGCAAGTGGCAAGTGGCTTCTTCGACCCTCTTTGTGCCTTCTTAAGCCATGGTCACAGCGAGTACGTGTTTTGGCGTATTGTTGCCTGCGAATGTATAGATTCTCATGACAGTAACTGTACAAGTGTAAGTAAGTATATGGTCAGAATAATCAAGTATATAGATTAGATGTACGAGAGCGATTATATCGTTCTTCAATTGTTCGGTTATCGTGTTTCTTTTATTAGAATGACAGTTTGTTAGAAGACGGATCCACTGTAATCGTAGGATAAATTAGAGCAATCAAATATGTATATATATATATATTATATATAGATTCTTATCAATTCTATTTGCATTTCGATCTTCAGACGTTTCATTCGGAACACACATACACTGTAATCATAGCAAGACAGCAAGCAACAAGCACCGGACCAATTACGTATCTTCGTACGTATATAGATATATAGACTCTTAGGAGTGTAAGCATCTCAGTCTTCAGACGTTTCATTCGTCAGAGCACGCGTCCACTGCAACCGTAGCCTAAGTCACGCCAATCAAATATGCATATTACATTCTTATCGGTGTACG